GTACGCAAGCAAGTAAGCAATAGATGCCAAACACCCTTAGCAGGATGCAGCGCACCCTTCATGCTACTCGCCGAATATCTCACGGCGTTTCGCGCTTGGCGATGTGAGAGCCTGGTCCGGTGAGAACCCGGCGTGCTCCGTCCCGGCTTTGTAGGGATGCGAGGTCGATGGTCGAATGACTACGGCATGCACGACTATGAGTACAACCTCCTCCCCCCGATGTTTGCCATTGGGGTTGGGTTCTCGGCGCTTGGCAACGACGTTGTAAAATATGCCGCCCCCCCCGGTGTTGCAATGAATACTCAATCCTCGACTACATCCTGGTAGATAGGGGGAGCACGCAGATCCCAGAGCTGCACGTAAGTGCGATAGATATAGGTTCGACCGACCACTTCCTCATATGGGCAAACATCGACCGATCTAGAAAGATCAAGAGTAAGAAACAGAGGAAAGTGTTCCGGTGGAAGGTAGAGCGTTTGGGAGACGATGGGACACGGGATGAATTCCAGAAGGGGCTGGCTGGTAGTGTAGAATCCTTCAGGAAACTGCTGAGAAGCGTCGAAGACGGACAGGTAGACGTACAGGCAGCAGGGGACAGGGTGATTGAAGGGTGGGAGTCCATCGTGAACGCAACGGCAGAGAGAGTAGTGGGAAAGAAGGTGGTACGATGTGGGGTATCGGTTAAGTGGTGGGATGACGAGCTGAAAGAAGAAATAGGGGAACGTAGAGAAGTCTTCAAGCAGTACCTGAGTGAGGCGTCTGAGGAGAGTTGGGAAAAGTACAGGGCCAAGAGAAAACAGGTGAAGGGACTAGTGAAAAAGAAGAAAAAGTGTATTTGGGACGAAGTAGTGCAGAAGGCCAACGGAGGCCTGGAGGGAAACGTCAAGCAGATGTGGGAAGGGATTAGTGGAATGGTAAAAAAGACCGCGCAAGGGGGGGATACAGGGGTCGCAACTTTGCGAGGTGTGAACGGTGGATTAGTCAGCAGTGGGAAGGGAAAAAGGGAAGTTCTAGCAGGACACTACAAGAGACTTGGAGTGCCCTCGGAGAATGAAGCTTTTGACCAAGCGTTTAAGAAGGAGGTGGACGCATGGGCCCAAAAAGAAGAAGAGACATCGAAGGCAGACGTTGGGAACGTAGAACTAGAAAAGGAGTTCACTGAGGACGAGGTTGAGGCGTGTGTGAACAAGCTGAAGTGCCACAAAGCAGCAGGAGCGGATGGGATAGTCAACGAGTTCATGAAGTTTGGGGGGAAGGGGATGATCCAGCTGATGGTACTGCTATACAATTGGGTGTGGAAAAACGAGTATACGCCAAGTAGATGGAGGGAAGGAGTGGTTGTGAACTTGTTTAAGAAAGGAGACAAGACTGACCCAGGAAACTACAGGGGGATCACACTGTTGAACACAGTAGGAAAAGTGTTCTGTAAGCTGCTGAACGATAGGATAGTGGGAGTATTGGAGAAGGAACATAGCATTAGTGAGGGCCAGGCAGGTTTCCGCAAGAAGAGGGGGTGCGTAGACCACGTGTTCACGGTAGGGAGAATCATCCAAGGTAGAAAGAGGGCGGGAAAGCCGACGTACTGCTTCTTCCTGGACGTGAAAAAGGCATACGACACCGTGTGGAGAAATGGGTTGTGGAAACAACTGTCCAAATACGGGATCAAGGGGAAAATGTGGAGAGTGCTGAAGAAGATGACAGAGTGTACGAAAAGCGCGGTCATGCTAGACGGAGAACTGTCAAAATTCTTCGACATTGAGCAGGGGGTCCCACAAGGTTGCACGCTGTCCCCAACATTGTTCCAGGTGTTCATCAACGATCTGTTGGAAGTCGTAGAGGCAGTCCGGAAGGGAGTAAAAGTAGGGGACACGGAAACGTCGGTTTCAGGAATGCTGTTTGCGGATGATTTTGTCGGTATGTCGGACACCCCTGAGGGACTGCAACTGCAAATTGACGCGGCGAAGAAGTTTACTGATAAGTGGAGATTGTCTGCCAACGTTCAGAAGAGTGCCGTCATGGTATGCAACGAGAACAAGGAGGAACCAGTAGAACATAGATGGAAGTGGGGGATCGAGGAGATTGCAGTAGTGGACCAGTACACATACCTCGGAGTAGAGATCGCAAAAGACTGCTCGTGGAATGCACACATGTCCAAGGTAGCGGAAAAGGGCAAAGCACGAGCAGGGAAGCTGCACCCAATACTCGCAAACCGGCACCTCGATACACGCATCAAATTGACGGTTTTGAAGAGCGTAATCGTACCGCCGCTAGAGTACGCCGGAGAAGTATGGGAAGGAAATAAGAAGGTAGTGAAAGAACTCGAGGCGGCGCAGATGAAAGCAGCGAAAACCATCCTAGGATGCTCCAGGCGCACAAGTAATGCAGCCGTGAGGGCAGAATTGGGGATCCAATCCCTACGGTCGGGAAGAGACGCGAGGAAGCTGACCTGGCAGTATCGCATGTGCGGGATGGGAGAGGAGAGGTTGCCGAGAATTGTATGGGAGGCGAAGTGGGCAAACAAAAAGAGGGGTAGACAACCCACGGAATGGGTCAAGGTTGTAGAGGACGTATGGAAGGGGCTCGACATCGACGAAGATGAAACGCTGGAAACGGAGGGTCTACAGGGGTTCAAGGAGAAGATATCTGTTGCTTGTGCCGAGAGAGAAGAACAGAATCTGAGGAAAGAATCCAAGGATAAGGAGGGTCTAGAAGTGTACGGAATGTTGAAGGAAGGAATAGGGTTCAAGGACTACCTACATGGACCAATGGATGCAGGAACAAAGCTTAAGGTCAAATTCAGGACCGGGGACATAGGCCTTCGAGAACGTCGACGAAGACATAGGACGGTAGACGAGGAAGACGACGAGTTCAAATGTGATTGCGGCTTCGAATGCGAAGACCGTGTTCATGTAGTCGCGGAATGTCCGTTGTACAAGAAGGAGAGGGAAGTGTACGTGACTGAGCTGGGAAAAATAGATGGAACGTACAGGGAGATGTTTGAGGCATGGAATAGAGGGGAAAGGACGGTAGCTGTACTGGGGCATAGGAGGTGGGTTGAAAAGGCGGGAAGGGATATCGTTAGGATAGACAGACTAGGGAAGACATTTTTGAGCCACCTTTGGCAAAGTAGAAAGGAACGATTGGCCATCGGTGATCGGTCCTGTGGGAACAATGCTCCGTCCTCTCGAGGACGCGTGGTCAATGGTCTAACCGCTAAGTAAGGCATGCAAAACATAAGAGTACGCCAACCCCCCGATGTTTGCCATCGGGGTTGGGTTTTCGTCGCTCGCAACAACGTTGTAAGACAAGCCCCCCCCTCGGAGTTTGCCATCGGGATTGGGTTTTCGTCGCTTGGCAACGACGTTGTGAAACAAGTCAATTCACTTCGTGAACTCGGCAACCGGGTGACCGTTTTTTTTTCTTTCTGTTTTTTTTTTTTTGGAGGTAACCATAATGAAAGGTGGTCGAGTAGATCATGTTGTACAGGGCGGAAAATCGCGAAAGGTGGCGTTCTGCAGCAGCGGAGGTGGCGGTGCTGCTGTAGCTCGTAGACTTTGTAGTCTATCACAGAGGTTACACTGCTGCGAGAGCGGTAGGCCCGAGCGAACTTCGGAAAGAGAAATGTAGATAAAGTAGATGTTCTTAAAAACTGACTCCCTGGTCAGGCTTTGATGGGTGCTAGATGAGAGGGGTGGTGAGCTTAGGGCTGCACCACTCTCGTCGAACACCGGACAATTAAGATAATCACACAAGAGATCTAGAATGCTTCCAGAATGATTCTGGAAGCCCTTCTACGTCCTAGAAAAGTATCAAGTGCAACCTAGGTCTAGAACGCTTCCAGAAGGTTCCAGAAGGTTTCCAGGAGCTACATACGTTCTACGTAGATGTCCCGGCCGACCTTGACCAAGCATGCTTCCGGAATATTTCTAGAACAAGAGAAAACATGCTACAGTCTCGCCTGCCAAATAATCTCCGCTACAACTCTGTGCTCATGGTCCCTGCTAAGTACCATCTCTTCTTTGGGTATTATGTCTACGGAACGCTAGTTGCCGCAGTCGCACCTATGGTAAACTGCTGTGCCTGATTACGTTGTAACAGTTTTCCTCGACACGACCCCTCGAAAAGGCAAGTAGCCGATGTTCCAAAAAAAAGAAAAGAAAAAAAAGCTTCACTTCGCTGCCAATTTTTGCGACCCCTCAATTCCTAATCCATATCAAAGAATATCGACCTCCACATGGGTGAATCAATCCTGTGAGCAAAACACGCGTTCGAAACATTCAACCATACTATGCGATCTTGTGCTCATTATCTTCTAGCACTTGTAGTCCTTGATGAGTTGCATGATGGTGGCGAATCGCTGCTTCGGGGATGTTTCGTCGCGATGTCCGCCAACATAGTGGCACTAGGTTGGTGGTGAAGAGTGATCCGGTGCCCCTTCGTGGGTTCCCTGAGGAAGAAGACCCGGAGCGCCATGTGCTTCGTTCTAGAGCTGAACATCGCGTTGCTGGCCACAGTCAATGCTCCGGTGCTGTCGCTGTTGATGGGTACCGATCGAAAGGTCTTGAATCCGATTTCCGTCATGAAGTTGGAGATGTAGACTGCCTCGCGAGCGTTGAAGCTCAGTGCTTGAAGTTCGGCCTCCACGGTGTTCTGTGCTGCGAGAGTCTTTGCCTTGGCTCCGTAGCTGATCAGTCCCCCTCCTAGGAAGAACAGGTATCCGGTGGTAGACCTGCCCTTGTATGGGTTGGCTCCAAATGACGAGTCAGTGAAGCACGAGAGTCTGAACTGCCCCTTCTTGTACACCATCGGCAGGTCCGGCGTTCCGCGTAGGTACCGTAGTAGGTGCTTGGCCGCAGCCATGTGGACCTGTGCTGGGTTTGCGCATGCCCGTGTAAGTTGGTGCACTGCATATGACAGATCGTAGCGGGTGCATTGGGCAAGGTACAGGAGACTCCCGGTGATGGCCTGGAATCTCTGCTTGTCCTCGGGTCCGAGTAGTTGGTCTTGTGGCTGCTCGGTTGATAGTTCTGCTCCATACCCGGGGGTGCTGACCGGGTTTGCCTGTTCCATTCCGTATCGCTGTAGGATATCTCTCGCGTAGGGTCCTTGCGATATGGCTAGTGTGCCATGTTCGTAGTCCCGCTGCACTTCGATGCCGATTACGCGCTTGACCTCTCCCATGTCTGTCATTTCGAAGCTGTCCATGAGTTCCTTCTTTTTNCTCTGCTTGTCCTCGGGTCCGAGTAGTTGGTCTTGTGGCTGCTCGGTTGATAGTTCTGCCCCATACCCGAGGGTGCTGACTGAGTTTGCCTGTACCATTCCGTATCGCTGTAGGATATTTCTCGCGTAGGGTCCTTGCGATATGGCTAGTGTGCGATGTTCGTAGTTCCGCTGCATGTATGTTAGGATGATCCGAACTGGGGGTAGCTTGTCGCAAGATGTGGGTTGAATAGGGTGTCGGCAACTCGACGAACTCGCGCCAAGGAGGAAAGACGTGTTGGGTTTGTTGCATAAACTTCTCCTTCACATGAACTCACATGACTGAACGCACGCGTGCACGCACAAACATGAGGGGGCGACGCAGTATACGACAGGGGTACCTTGCACACCCTGGAAATACATTCCACGTACCACACAATCTACAACCACTTGGCATTGCTACAAGTATATATATCAGCCCCCCTGCTTGTGACCATGCCATGTCGTTTTCGATCCTAAATAACTCCAAGACACAAAATAAATAAAATCAGAAGCTCAATTCAACTCCAGAACAATAGCCTCACTGACTAGACATCAATAACCATCCCCGATCATACCAGTTATACTTCTTCGAACTTCAGTGAACTTGTTGCCCCCCAGCCTAGAACATCATCCATTGAGAAAAACCATAGGCAAAAATGAAAAATGTTGCCACCCCAGTTGATTGATCACACACAAAATAAATCCAAACACCAATATATTAATCCATACTCATCACGTAGTTACGATGAAACTCAAAATCTCCCGCGTGAAGTGCTTTCGTGAGAAAGTCAACATGTTGATACGCCGATCCCACGTGAAAAAACGATATCTCCTTCCTGCCTACCAGTTCCCTGATAAAGTCGTGCCTTACGTCGATGTGCTTCGAGATACTGTTGCTTTTCGGGTATTGCGCCAACTGAATAGCCCCCTGGTTATCCTCGAACACCGGAATACACGGCATGCCTGCTTCTGGTAACATGAAACGCCACACCTGCCTCAGAAACAACACTTCCTTCATCACATCCGCAAGAGAGACATACTCCGCCTCTTTCGTGCTCAACGCGACGCACATCTGGGTCCTTGAAAACCAAGAAATACATCCCCCCCCACACATCACCAATCCCCCTGACACAGACCTCCTATCGGCAGCCTTACTTGCATAGTCTGCGTCTATCAGAGCTCATTTGCACCCGGCTGGATCACTTGGGTCTGTATGGCTTGAATCTCCGGGGACGGACCCCTCGCCTAACGCTGCCTGAAAAGAACTTATAGTGCTTGGGAAAGTGACCAGTCGGGTTTTGAACCCGTGCGTGAATCCTTTTCGCCAAATGTTAAACCATTAGACCAGTCAGGGGTGACTCCGTAGTCTTATGGGGTAAGCCTTTGCTAATGAGTGGTACACGCACGGGTTCGAATCCCAGATGGCCACTTTCACAAGCACCCTTAGTTCNCGAGATCTTCAAAGTCCCTGCATCCCAATCTCTCTCATAAAAACATCCAGAGTACCATCTCAAGGCCCCAAGATTCTTCACAGGTACCATGGTGTTGAGGTCCCTGCCAAACTGGTCACACCTTTCCTCCTCTCCTATAGAAAATATATCATCTACATGTACCTATTCGATAAAGTTACACCATTAGACTAGTCAGCGCTGACTAGTCTAATGGTGTAACTTTATCGAACAGTACCACCAGAGTCACTACCACTCTTCCCTCCTCAATCAGCCACACGTATCCGCCATGCACTGAATAAAACCTAAACAAATTAAATACCTCGCCAAGTGTGAATGCCATTGCCTTGATGCCTGCTTAAGGCCATACAGACTCTTGTTCAACTTCACGATCATTCCTGACAACCTACCACACCCCTCTGGCAGACGCATGAATACATCCTCGTCCAAATCCGACTGGACAAATGCTTGCTTGATGTCAAAATGACGGAGAGAAAGATTTTGCTCACACGCCATCGCTGCCAACAAGCGAACGCTAGAAACCGCTACAGTCGGTGCATACGNCGCCAAATGTTAAACCATTAGACCAGTCAGGGGTGACTCCGTAGTCTTATGGGGTAAGCCTTTGCTAATGAGTGGTACACGCACGGGTTCGAATCCCAGATGGCCACTTTCACAAGCACCCTTAGTTCTTTTCCTGCAGCGCCTGGCGAGGGGTCCGTCCCCGGAGATCCAAGCCATGCAGACCCAAGTGATCCAGCCGGGTGCAAATGAGCTCTGAGCATATCTTTTATTCGATAAAGTTACACCATTAGACTAGTCAGCGCTGACTAGTCTAATGGTGTAACTTTATCGAACAGTACCACCAGAGTCACTACCACTCTTCCCTCCTCAATCAGCCACACGTATCCGCCATGCACTGAATAAAACCTAAACAAATTAAATACCTCGCCAAGTGTGAATGCCATTGCCTTGATGCCTGCTTAAGGCCATACAGACTCTTGTTCAACTTCACGATCATTCCTGACAACCTACCACACCCCTCTGGCAGACGCATGAATACATCCTCGTCCAAATCCGACTGGACAAATGCTTGCTTGATGTCAAAATGACGGAGAGAAAGATTTTGCTCACACGCCATCGCTGCCAACAAGCGAACGCTAGAAACCGCTACAGTCGGTGCATACGTCTCTCCACAATCTACATGTACTCTCTGCATATCTCCTCTCGCTACGGGCCGTGATTTGACATTGGTTGGCCATCCATACTCGTCAGACTTCCAATCAAACACCCACTTCGCCTTGATAACACTTTCTGGTTGCTACATTACTTCCTCAAAGGTACCA